GGAGGAGGAGGAAGAGGGGGGAAGGAAGGAGGAGGAGGAGGAGGAGGAAGAGGGGGGAGGGGAAGAGGAGGAAGGAAGAGGAGGAGAAGCCTTGATCATCAGCACCATGTATAAAGTATCAACAGATCAATCAAGGGTGCGTGAGGCTGGTGGTGGTGGTCGGGGTGGTTGTAGAAAGGCTGGTGGTAGTGGTGGTAGTGAGGCTGGTAGTGGTAGTGGTGGTAGTGAGGCTGGTAGTGGTGGTGGTAGTAGTGAGGCTGGTGGTGGTGGTGGTAGTGGTGAGGCTGGTGGTGATGGTGGTAGTGAGGCTGGTAGTGGTGGTAGTAGTAGTGAGGCTGGTAGTGGTAGTGGTGGTAGTGAAGCTGGTGAGTGGTGAGGGTGAGTAGTAGTGAGGCTGAGGTGGTGAGGTGAGGGTGGTAGTAGTGAGGCTGGTAGTGGTGGTAGTGAGGCTGGTGGTGGTGGTGGTAGTAGTGAGGCTGGTGGTGGTGGTGGTAGTAGTGGGGCAGGTGGTGGTGGTGGTAGTAGTGAGGCTGGTAGTGGTGGTGGTAGTAGTGAGGCTGGTAGTGGTGGTGGTAGTAGTGAGGCTGGTAGTGGTGGTGGTAGTAGTGAGGCTGGTAGTGGTGGTGGTAGTAGTGAGGCTGGTAGTGGTGGTGGTACTCAATATTACAGTAGTGTCGAGGGCAGCCCCGTCTGACCTGCTCACCGCCACGCCCACACCCTGACATTTACCCCCCCCCCATACACGCGCATCTTAGATAACATACAAACACACCACGCATTGTAGATAACACACACACACACACACACACACACACGATCATTGAGCTGACTGACGCAGCCCATAAAATCATTAATCAAAATTATCTCTGGTTGACATTGTAGCCTGAAAGAGTGAGTATAATATATATATGTATACGGCATGGGGATGGCAACCTTAATGGCGGCTATATTGCACTGAGGCTACCACGACAAGACACGTTAATCTATCCTCATATATAGACATAGATGTTACAGAGCTCCTGAGTTTCTTGGTGGTGAATCATGACACAACAGTGAGCTCAGCGTAGTGTTAACTGAAGCACAAACACCTCCCACTATACATTTCACTGTTCTGCGCTGGCTATAGGTAATCCAGCTGACAAATATAGGAGGGAGGGTGTAAGTCATTATTCCACCCCAAGTACACTCAGTGGAAGTAAAACACAAACAATCAATAAAGAAATAAGTTACTGTTCTTACTCATGTCAGCTGGAGGTAAGAGTCCTGCCGCAGTGTCAGCCACCACACGTAGTGACGCTGACGGAGCTGATGACGTGTTCAACCACCAGTAACCTGCCACAACAAAAGTGAATGAATTACCTGATATCAAAGATGATTGACTTAATAAGAAAATAAACTATAAATGGTCTATATAATTAATCAAAGTAAACCTTATCAATACCCCAACACAACCTAACATATCTTCAGTTGACGGGGGTCGTCTTGTTTACAACCAGAGTTAAAAAAAAGTTATGAAGGTCACCACACTCCAATGCTTGATGGGGAGGTGTGGCTGTAAATTTAAGTTATAATAAATATGTGGTAAAATTTCTTATTCGATGACAGAAACTATGAAGATTCGTTTCATGTCATAACGAGAATTAATAAACAATATAGGTTTTTCGTTTGTGTATTTGATGGTGATTTCAGTGATATTGGCCTTTAATTCCGCGGAAAATGCTTCTTTATGGAGGCATGAGCCCTTTAACCCTATCAACGACACTGATTTCTTCCAAAGTGGGCAGGACTTGGAAGATGAGGGAAAACCTGGAGTTAAAAGAACGAGCTAACAAACTTTTGTAAACCTAACCTAACCTAACCTAACCTAACCTATACTGTAACCTATTATACCCATTATGAACGCGCATTAAGTTAATTGGCAAACCTAGTTTCGTACACAACAAAACGTGTTTACATCCAGTTGATAGCTGTGATCTGGATAAACCAAGATATAACAATATAGACGAATTTTTAGTTCGCTTAACACATTTTTGAGGAATTTTATATTCATATTTCTTTCACGTGAGCGTCACATGATGAGCTGCACGCGCAACAATTTTGTACTCAGTCGCCTTGTGCCTCCCTCCTGACCTAACATGAAGAGAATCACCGATAAAACACCAGACACAAAAAACAAAACATTATCACTGTTTCCTTCGTCATCGGTTAAAGAAACTTAGTAATATTATTAGGACTTTTTTTAGTCAAGAAAGGTTAGGCCAGGTTTTATTTTTTTTTTACCCCACATTTTCCTTGTGTTTTTATGATAAATTCAATGACAATGACTTCCAAAGTGGTGCACCACTTTGGAAGTCATTGTCATTGTTAGTGTTAAATGAGCCCTAAAAAAAACTATTTCCCATCAAAAAGGTCATATTCGTTCAATTTATCATAAAAACACAAGGAAACCTATTTTGGTTATTAAATTCCCGTTGTGGTTTAAAACGATTCAGAAAACTCAGCAAAGTCGTGGGAGGAAATCTGAGGTCCTGGAAGAGGGTGGTGGGGGGGGGGGGTAGGTGCCAATACAGCTGACAAAGTATCACTGGAGCTCTAAACCATGAACACGAAAATGGGAGTGAGGTTAGGTAGGTTAGGTACCTTACGTTGGGTAGGTTAGGTTCTGTGCATTCTTGCCTCCATTTTCGTGTTCATGATATTAGTCTCTCCACAAATTTAGGTTCAATTCCATTATTTTTTCTGGTGTTAACCGTATTGATAAAATATTCTAGATTCAGCGGCGGATCCAGGGGGTCCTGGGGTTCCAGACCCCGCCACTTTTCATCAGAAAATTCCAATACTTTTTTAAATGCAGTATTGTACTCAGGCGTTTATGTATAGTAAAAAGTAATTACTGTTGACCTCAGAATATCTCCTAATATCAAGTGCACATGGCCTCCATATGGCCTCAAAATGTCCATGTGTCATCAACCCTTAGTCGAGATGACTCGGGGTTAAGGAGAGTTCCAGTGAACCAGGTATTGGTGATTTTATTAGAGCTCATATAAACCCAGGCGTGTTGTATATATTATATTCTAATTAGATTATTTGGACTATTTTGTAGTAAAATGACGTGTCAAATACATTTATTTAGTTGACTTATTCTGATTAGCTAGTTTCTGCATAACAGCCATTAGACTAGTTACTTTGGTTCAGGTGATGAACACCAGGGGACCTTAAATTACTGCCATCTACCTGTCGGGTTGGGAAAAGCTGGCTGAGGCCTGAATGTCAGTTTTACTCCTCACACTGACTGCTGTTCGTCGGAGCTGCATGGTGTTGTCTGGGTATTCTTCTTTACTTATGTGGCTGATCTGTGTTCATCTCAACAGATAAGTTATTCTTGTTATGAGTGTTAGGTATAGTGTTTAGGATGTTTAATAGGAATTTAGATTAAATTACCATTGTTTTGCCTTGTAATGTTCTTGGTGAGTTTTCCTTGTAAATATTAAGTGTATTTTTCACTCTGGGTTTTCTCTTTCATGTTAAACAACAATTGAGCCTTAGAAGCCTGTGTAGAGCACTTTTTAATAAGTGCATTAACGTGAGGGCTAACTTTTTCGGAGTGAGAGTTGTAAACTCTTGGAACCTTCTGCCAGTGTGTTGTGACGACACCGAGTGTGAGCTCTTTCAAGACCAGACTTTACCAGCACTGGATCAGGGTCAGGTACATTCTGGAGCCAGTGCATGACCAGTACTTGCCAACAGTGCTTAACAGAGACGTGACCGATCGCCCAAGCGGCTAACAAGCTGATCAGTGGTGAAGAGGAAAAAGGTAAAGTAAAAATAGTGATGCAGCATGTCAACAAACCCCACCACCTGCGTTAGAAACATATTCCTCGAGCATGATCTCAAAACCAATATTTTGTCTGAAAGCAGACGACACAAACCTGATTTAACCTAACAGAACCCAACCAAATTATTCTAGAGTAGTTTAGGCTATGAGGAGTACTTATGAGGTTGTTTCGTCAGCGTCGCCTAAAAAAAATATTCTCAGCTCTGTTCGTGGTAGTTTTCATAGCATTGGCTATTCTGCGTTTAATATGACGTCATCCAACACCTAATGCTATTATGAATTCAGGCAATTTAAAAAATAAACTTCAAAGATTTAGTTATTAAGAAATAAACCACATAATTCGTGTTAAAAAATATGCCAACAACAAATTTCATGTATTTAAAAAAACATCAGAAGAACTAGAAAACATAAACTAGTCGTTTATAAATATAATTTCTCACGTGAAGAGTATTTGTCGGATTCTTAAGACTAAAGTATTTTTTAATCTCACTGTAAATAAGGGAGTACAGGGTTATGGTAATATATCGGTGCTACTTCGAAGCTTTATTGATCATGATTTGTGTTAGCGCCTAAACTGAACTCACTCACATCTGGCCACGCGACAAACATCCTTTAGTAATATACCGTATGTCTAGAAAGGCGGGAATTTGGGCTAATTACCATCTGTTGCCTCTTTCTTCCCTCCCCAACCTGCCATGCTACCTTTCTCGTCCCTTACACTCCCTTCCCTCCCTCCCACTTGCTGCATCTCTCCTCCCTCACTCTTCCTTCCCTCCCTCCCATCTGCTGCATCTCTCCTTCCTCACTCTCACTTGCTGCCTCTCCCCTCCCTTCCTCACCCTTCCTTCTCTCCCTCCCACCAGCACTAAAACATTCATTACCTTGCAAATTCCACCGACGTCCCTTTTGGATTTCCCTCGACACCAGTAAGTTTCATTCTTTTCACCAGCCATGACGTCTATGAACAAATCTGCCTAAACACGCCCAGATAAATAAAATATATGAACATTATCAAAAATATTAAAATTATACTATTAAATCATTACTCAAATAACCTACATAGTTGTCAAAATAAAATATTATGATATTGTGTTGTAGCACAAGTCGAAGCCATCGATCAAACGCAACCAGAGTTTCCCGCCCATATGCCGGGGTGCGTCGGGTCGAAATTGCTGAAGCCATTTTACAAAACAAACTCTCCAGTCCTGACACAACCCATCTATTGGATTATTCAAACTACGTGCCAACTTGAACAGCTGTGCCAAGCGACATAAAATCATGAATAAATTTTAATGATTCGTTTGTCTATATAAAATCGGAGATGATGATGATGATGATGATGATGATGATAGTAAACTTTCCACGTTGTTATGTGCAGAAGTTGGGATTTTCTTGTGAGTAAACTTTCCGCTTCTTATAATTGCTACTTACGAAGGAAATATATAAATAGGGCCGGAGCAAAGCCGGCCAGGGGCAACAATTAGACTGGCCAGGCTATAACCAGATTACAATAGGGCTACATGAAGGCTACAAGGTTACCGAACACTGCCAAGGCTACACCAGCGCTCCGCGAAGGCTACTTAAAAGGCTATAAGGTTACCGAGCACCGTGAAGGCACTAACAATGTCTCCACACTGGAAAATCGATCTGCAGGTACCAGGGGTCGATAACCTGGTCTTGTGAGGGGAAGCCAGGGGGCAAGGATCACGTGAGGGGGAGGGAGAGAGAGAGAGAGAGCAAGGAGTTAATGTGAGGGAGGGAGGGAGAGAGAGAGAGAGAGCAAGGAGTTAATGTGAGGGAGGGAGGGAGAGAGAGAGAGAGAGCAAGGAGTTAATGAGGGAGGGAGGAGAGAGAGAGAGAGCAAGGAGCAATGTGGGAGGGGAGGAGGAGAGAGAGAGAGAGCAAGGAGTTAATGGGAGGGAGGAGGGAGGAAGCAAGGGGTTAATGAGGGAGGAGGAAGCAAGGGGTTAATGGAGGGGAGGGAGAGGGAGCAAGGAGTTAATGTGAGGGGAGGGAGGGAGGAGTAAGGAGTTAATGTAAGGGAGGGGGGAGAGAGCAAGGAGTTAATGTGAGGGAGGGAGCAAGGAGTTAATGTAAGGGAGGGAGGGAGAGAGCAAGGGGTTAATGTAGGGAGGAGGGAGCAAGGAGGTAATGTAAGGGAGGGAGGGAGAGAATAAGGGTTAATGTGAGGGAGGGAGCAAGCAAGAGAGTTAGGGAGGGAGAGAGAGCGAGCAAGGGTTAATGAGGGAGGAGAGAGCAAGGGGTTAATGTGAGGGGAGGAGGAGCAAGGAGTCAATGTTAGGGAGGAGCAAGGGGTTAATGTGAGGGAGGGAGGGAGCAAGGAGGTAATGTGAAGGAGGGAGAGAGAGCAAGGAGTCAATGTTAGGGAGGGAGAGAGAGGCTAAAACTGTATACCCTTTCCTGAGTGGTTAATGATTTACATACATACATACATACATACATACATACATACATACATACATACATACATACAATAAGAGACATACACATATTAATAAAAATATATACCTTACAGAAGAAGAACAATAGTAGAGAGGAGACGATCTATATAAACAATGTGATAATCATTTTAGGATCACTTGATGACTTCCCCCCAGCCCCCGCCCAGGCTCCCCCCAGCCCAGGCCCCCCCCCCCAGCCCAGCCCCCGCCCAGCCCAGCCCCTGCCCAGCTCCAGCCCCCCCCGCCCAGCCCAGCCCCCCTGCCCGCCCAGCCCTGGCCCAGCCCAGCCCCCTGCCCAGCCCAGCCTCTGCTCCAGCCCAGCCCCCCCTGCCCAGCCCCCCCCCAGCCCAGTCAGTCCAGCCCCTGCCCAGCTTATTTTTATTTCAAGACAATCACCCTAACTGCATGGGTGGGGGGTGGCGTTAGGTTAGCGTAAGGTTAGGATTAGGATGGTTGGTTAGTCTTTAGGTGAAATAAGCTGGGGTAACTAATCCTCAGGTGAAATAATCTAAGCTACCTAATCCTCAGGTGAAATAATCTGAGCTAATTAATCCTCAGGTGAAATAATTCAAGCTAATTAATCTCAGGAAATAATCTGAGCCAATTAATCCTCGTGAAATAATCTAAGCTAAGGGTGAAATAACTCAATCCTCAGGTGAAATAATCTAAGCTAATTAATCCTCAGGTGAAATAATCTGAGCTAATTAATCCTCAGGTGAAATAATCTAAGCTAATTAATCCTCAGGTGAAATAATCTAAGCTAATTAATCCTCAGGTGAAATAATCTGAGCTAATTAATTCTCAGGTGAAATAATCTAAGCTAAGCAATCTTCAGGTGAAATAATCTAAGCTAACTAATCTTCAAGTGAAATAATATGTATAACTCTAAGGGCAAAACCACCTAAATTTCACTTAATTTTTCACCCATTCGTAAATTATTGACCCCTGACCTCTGACCTATACTGTTTGGGTCACTTCGGTATTTTCCTAGACACTGACCTGAGGAATATTTTACTGACGAGAGTTTATTGATATAATTTGAGTGTTTATTAAATATTGACTCAGGGAAAATTATCGTGTAACTTTGGTATAGTATAAAATTATTGAATGATGCCGGACTCATACACTGACTCACTCATACACTGACTCACTCATACACTGACTCACTCACTCATAAACTGACTCACTCAATAACACACGCACTCACTCACAAACTCACACACAAACGAGAGAGAAAAAATCATATACGTCTGATCTTTTAAAATAATCTGTTTGGGTGTTGCTTTCAAATCTGTCGTTATTGTAACATGGAACGAACCATTATTGTTGACGGAAGGGGTGCACCTGTGTGTGTGTGTAGGAGACGTTAATTGTGTGTGTGTGCAGGAGACGTTAATTGTGTGTGTGTGTAGGAGACGTTATTAGTGTGTGTGTGTGTGTGCGTAGGAGACGTTAATTGTGTGTGTGTGTATAGGAGACGTTAATAGTGTGTTTGTGTATATAGGAGACGTTAATAGTGTGTGTGTATGTGTGTGTATAGGAGACGTTAATAGTGTGTTTGTGTATATAGGAGACATTAATAGTGTGTTTGTGTATATAGGAGACGTTAATAGTGTGTTTGTGTGTATAGGAGACGTTAATAGTGTCTATATTAAGTTTCTATCTCCCAAAGCTTAAGTTTCTATCTCCCAAAGCTTGAGCGTTCACTAAAACAAACCAACTTGTAGTAATTACTAAATGAGGTCAAGTTACTGGACGAGAATAACAAGGCTCTCTGGGCGGCTCGTTAACCTGTACACACTCATTACGCACTAGCTTAACGCTATCCTAAACTAACCTAACCTAATCTAACATGAGCTGACATAACATGATCTAACCTAACCAAACTAACCCTAACATGACCTAACCAATCCCAACCTAACCTAACCTAGCCAATCCCAACCAAAGCTAACCTAACAAATATCAACCCTAATCTAACCAATCCCAGCCTAATCTAATATAACATGATCTAACCTAACCAAACCAACCCTAACATGACCTAACCTAATTTAATGATCACGTGACCTCTAATTACTAAATACTGGACATCATTAATGCGTAAGTTATAATATTCTAATCTCAAAATGTCTGGGTAATATTTCTTATAAAGGTAAAAAGACTAGAAGTAATAACTCGGGTACATTGAAGTGTCACCTGGAAATACCGCAGAAAGCTGGAAATATCATCTGGAAATAACACAGAAGGCTGGATATATCACCTGAATAATGACAATGGTGGTGTTGGGAGTACAATTCCCTAAGGACTTAATATCGGTAATGTCTTCTCCCCCTCTTAAATAAACAAGGTGGCAGCCCCTCCACCCGACCATATGCTTATCTTTGTAGTTTCACCTTTAATTCTCTCTCACCAGCCATCTTTACCCTGAGAGTAAGATGCTGGGTATGTAAATGATCGGTGTAATTTCTAATATTTATAAGTCCTGGAAGTACTACTCAAAGTCCCTAAAAAAAACAAAGACACAGAGATGGCACCACTTGCAGCGACCAACGTTCCAGGCCAGCGACTCCCTTATTGGCTAGAGGGATCTTAGGGGCGTGGCTTATCGATCGCCGGTGCGCGCTGAGTGGTCAGTTGCCTGGGAATGGCCTCAGTGTAGTCAGAAAGTCGGCACAGCTGAGGAGGTGCGGACTCGGTGGTTGTGTGAGGTGGTGCTGTTGGTTACGTGTGTCGGACATTGTGGGCGGGTGTAGCGAGAAGTCTCTCGTGTTCGGGCGTACAGCCGCCATACACCGATATTATGAAGCCCGACAAGCCGACGACGGCACCAGCAAGAGACCGAGACATTTTGCGCGCCCGTAACACGAGACCGCTAAAGCCTCCTGGACAACCATCTTCATCATCCTCTTCATCATCAAGTACGAGCGACCAGGCGGCGGGGTCGTCAAGTGGTGAACCTGCGTCAGCGTCAGAAGCGTCAGCCTCAACAGATGTATCAGGTGTCAGCAACTCGTCAGGGGGGTCGGAGATGCGGGTGTACCTGGATAAGCTGCGTGAGTTAGTGCCATATGTGCCTCGCTCTGGCAGACTGTCCAAGGTTCAGCTCATCCACTCCGCCATCGACTACATCACCGATCTGCAGGAATCCCTAGAGGCACGAGCACGTAGGAAGCTGCGAGACAAGCAAGACCAGGCATCGAGACCACCGCTGGCAGCCCTCCCTCAGGCACACCTCCACCCCAACACCCCCTCCACCAACCCCACCACCACGACGCCCCTTATGGAGAACAACGCCAACAGGCTACCAACAGTACTGGAGGCCAACACCAGCCACCCCGCGGCACTCACGGCACTAAACTTATCTACACAGCCAGCCGGAGGCAGCAGTAGCAGCAGCAGGATAAGCACCAGCTGGCTGCCACCAGACCTAGATGTTAACAGCAGTCACTCAGCGGCACTCAACCTGTCCACCGCAACACTGGCAGCCAACACTGTCACCACCACTAGCAGCAGAGCGCAGCTTAGTCCTGCAGTACTTACACCGGATGAACATCCCTATTTACCCCTAGTAACAGACGCTATAACTAGGAGTACTCGCAGCCACGGCAGTGCTAGCAGCAGCAGCAGCAGCAGTAGTAGTAGTAGCAGCGGCGGCAGTAGTGCCACTACCCCGGCCTCTCCTGGACCACCTTTGAATCCGAGTTAGCAGTGATTTAACAAGCTTGATGTGTTAACAACAACAGTGCCGGTCATTGTTATCTGTGATCTATCAAGTTAGCTTACGGCATAATTACCCCCCCCCCCCAGTGCCGCTGATAATAACAACATTCAACAAAGACTACAGCGTGTGTGTGTGTGTGTGTGACCCTCCAGTACAATGTAACATTATGAACAACATAAGCCAGCTGGGTCTGTCTTGCTAATGTTTACATCACAAGTGTCCTCCTAGCTCGACCATTATCACCCAGGCTATACAGTAGATAATGGAGTCACTAGCAGCACGTGTCACACTACATGGATTTGTAAATATTGGCGATTTAAGACAACAGAATACTTAAGATAATATAATGAATAGTTTGTTCTTCCTTGTCAAGGTGTGGTGAACAAAATTCCATTGACTTAAGAGGTCGAAAGCCTTATCTCCTCCCCCCATGTGTGAGGGTGAGAAAAGTCCCTCCTTCGTGTCTGAGGTGCCAACACAGTCCCCCTAAAGAACAACACAAGATAATAATATACCAAAAAATAATCCTATAGCTGTCTTTAAGATGAACTGTAAAGATGATGAGAATAAACTTAATCTTTATAGCTAATAATAATTCGGAATAATCAGATTCAAAAACCTAATTGAGAAACACAGGTACAGGTATAAAGTACAGTTACAGAAGCAGTTGTGTAGTGACTGTATCATAGAGGTGATGATTCAATCTAGATAAACATATGAACGTACTGTATGTGATTATGACTTAACTGAGGTATTTTCATATTTTGTGTTCAGGTTACATCACCATCTGTCCACTGGTTCCGTAGACCCCAGCCCTAATAGACCCCAGCCCTAATAGACCCCAGGCCTGATAAGCCCCAATTTAACCGTACCACTAGTCTCAAGAAGCCCACCTAACCTAACCAACCCCCCTTACTTCTTGAAACTATTTACCACTTAAGTCACCTTAATACACTTCTAGAGTATGTATAGAGCTTAGAGTCAAAACACAGAGCTCTATAATGTATTGTGAATGTAAAGTCTACTAAAAGAGCTCTAGAGTTTAAGGGTTTGAGCTCTATAGGTTATTAAACAAAGTTTCCTTTCGTGATTTCTGATACATACATTCATACTCGTACGTACATACATACATACATACATACATACATACATACCTTGCATAACCCATACATACATACATATATTGCATAACCCATACATACACACATACGTGCATTGCATAACCCATACATACATACATACATTGCATAACCCATACATACATACATTGCATAACCCATACATACATACATACATTGCATAACCCATACATACATATATTGCATAACCCATACATACATACATACATTGCATAACCCATACATACATACATATATTGCATAACCCATACATACATACATACCTTGCATAACCCATACATACATACATACATTGCATAACCCATACATACATACATACATTGCATAACCCATACATACATACATACATTGCATAACCCATACATACATACATACATTGCATAACCCATACATACATACATACATATATTGCATAACCCATACATACATACATACATTGCATAACCCATACATACATACATACATTGCATAACCCATACATACATACATACATATATTGCATAACCCATACATACATACATACATTGCATAACCCATACTTACACACGTCATGTTTGAAGGAAAAGAGGAATTATTATAGATAGAAAGATAAATAGATAGATAGAGATAATATAAGTGTACACAGAGCACCGGGCAGAGGGTAGGACTAAGGTGTGTTTGTTAATAATGACTCAGACAGACTCCAAGCCAAGATTGAGATTAAACTGTCCTGTGTGTGTGTGTTTAGGCTGACAGGGTTGAGTAAGACATTTTTTTTTCTGAAATTAAAACTCACTTTGATATTCAGTAAATGACTTTCTGGAGGTAATCAGGAAACCCAGCTTATTTCACCTGTTAATGGGAGTTTGGTTAGGTTAGGTATATCGTGAAAATTAGCAACTTCCTTTATTGTTTAACTTAATTAGATGAATAAAGCAATTGTTGTCCAGTATAATAGTCATTAGTTCACATTAGTTCAGTCTGTACAGTCTCCTTCACTTGTGCGTTTACAGGGGCTCGTCAGGTTCTGTGCAGTGTGGCAGCCCTGTGTTTGTTTACATTCGACAGAAGGAAAGTGGCAATAGTAAACATAATATGGAATCAAATTAAAACCATATTAAAACAAATATCTCAATAATAATGATTTGTGGAATGTTTATATGACGAGTCCCTGTAAACGCACTAGTGAAGGGGACTGTACATACACGATACAGTTTCACAAAGAGTAGTAAACAGTACAGTAAGTCGATTTAACCATTTGGAAAGACTCGGAGAAAATTTTAATATCGCTCACGTAATCTCAGGTAATAACGCCAAGGAGTTAACACACATAGATAGTCTGCTACTGAAATGTTTTGTTTCTGATAATAACACCTTCATGCCGTGTGTATGTGATGATGTGGAACTGTACATCTAAATACACATGGTTAAGACTGTAATATGTCCGATACAATTTTATTTAATATTTAGGTTAGGTTTAGGTTAGGTCAGGTCAGGTCAGGTTAGGTTAGGTTAGGTTAGGTTAGGTTGGGTTGGGTTGGGTTGGGTTGGGTTGAAGTCCCACCTTTATGTTCAAAAATAAATATACAACTGCATCATTAAGGCACATTATTATAATACCGGTACAGTACTTGGTAAATATACACGTACAGTACTTATACCTGTATCTAATATCATACCTATACCTGTACCTAAACTTGTAGTGTTGCTGTTCATTACTCTGAATCTGAATTTTGAATATAACTTTGAAATGTGAATCAGCTTTTTGTGTAACATTAATGTATCCATATTCTCTGGGGTTCCTATAGTGAATATTATCGGTTACTGAAACTGTTGTAATGTACCAAACGACATGGTTGACCTAAACTACAATACAAAATAACCTTAAAAATGACGTAGAAATTACCCCGAGACTCTACCTAACTCAGATACGTTCTCTAAACACCAGACTAATATTAACTTAAATAATTTTCGTCTCCTGTTGCTCAGTTTATGTATCTAGTTTGTGTAGAATCCTAGTATAGTTTTGATGTAATTTTGTACGTTATTTTGGTGTTGTAGTTTAAGTCAACCAATTAAATACATTATATCATTATTCACGAGCAATATTTACCATATGAACAGTGACTCAACCAGCTGACTTGTGTAGTTCACCTCAACACATACATTTCTGAGTTCTATGTGGTGAGTAAAATATATAATTCTTACTATTCTTATAATATCTCTTATGACTCTTCTACCTCATTACAGAAAATATTACATAATACCTCACACATCACTGTCTAGGGGGGAGGAGGTCGGGTGATCCTCCTTGGTGTTAACAAAGGAATTCCTGCCGTCTTAAGTGGACAACAGCAACTCTGAACAACCTGAGTGATGGAAAAAATAAATAGATAAATATTTTTTGTTGTATAAATGGTGTACAGACTCTGTTAGATTATTATTATACTATTTTTTTTCCTTTGTGACCGTAAACATTGTGTATGTATACATGTATATTTATGTGTACTGTATGTTGTTTCAATTCTTATGCTTTTATTTATTCATGAAAGTAAGTCTGTATGTAATGCATCAGATCTTATATTAATTTGTTGAATTCACAAACGTAAATATTGTATATATATATTGAACCAGATTATATACACTTTATTAATTTATTTAACTCGTGTATTTAGTGTACATTTTGTAACAGATTTTATATTAATTTAATTAATATGTGTAATTGTGTAGGTTGATATTGTATATATTGTCACAAATTTTATATTAATTAATTTAATCCATTCGTAAACGGGCTGGAGAGAAAGAGGCCCGGTACAGCTGCCGACCAAAGAAATAATAATTCTAAATATACACTGGTCCCCTGGTGTCATATATGTAGAGACAACGTGTAACTTGTTACCATACACACAGACAACCGGTATCCATAGACGGAGCAACGGCGTTTGGTTGGTAGTTTCGCTAACCAATGACGGCGGCAAGTTGCAGACAACGTGAGTAGACGAGAGCGAAAGAATTGTGGTTTAAGCAAAACGCCCTTTGTTTTAATCATAAATAACAGTGTTTATCTCTCGCGTGTCACGGGTGTTTTGTCTGCAATTAGTTGTCCTCAATGGTAAACGAATCTACCATCCAAACGCCGTCGTTCCCTGCTGTATCTGTGTACGACAACATGGAACCAGGCTGATGCCATGAATGTAATAATAATGGATGCTGCACCAACACTTACCTTAACTTAATACTTCAGGAGGTCAATACGGCCTTAGATTCACACAGACTCCCATCAAGAATTTTTCCTCTTAAAGCAGATGTAAAAATTCAACCCAATGGTGGGTGATCCTACAGCTCCGACGGTAACTTCTCCCGGTCTACTGATGAGACGTAATAGGGAAATGATTCTTAGAGATTTGTACAGTACATTATTATCCTCCGTAAATTAAATCACTTGAGCTGTAACGTAAAACTAAATTCTCAAAGACTCGTACGATAAGTTCTTCCTGATTTGAGATGTGAACGAGTATAACTGACTGACTGACTTAAACCACAACACAAAAATAACACTGAGACTCAACAGTAACTTGACACTGAATTATTCTCAGGTACAAAAGAAACTTGTTGTCACCTTTTTTTTCGGTCAGCTGTGAAAACTAAGTATTATAGACAGACAGACAGACAAAACTAATATCAGTCAACCATTATGCAGTACAGGTATACATGTAATGGATCACTTGAACATTGTCCCCTAGCTTATTTCACCTGAAGATTAACTACCCTAATGCTAACCTAACCTAACCTACCCTAATCTAACCTGTCTTAAGGTAACCTAGCCTAACTTAACCTATCCGTACCTAACTCATACTAACCTATCCT